TTTAAGAACCCAGAGCAACCTTTTCTGATCTGAGAGCTGACTCTGCTATGAGCAGGAGGCTGGACTGGAGACCTCCTCTGAGGTTCCTTCCAACCTGAATGATTCTGTGATCCAATGAAGCGAACCCTCTGTTCATGATCCCCAAGCTCTCAAAAGTTGCCACTAAGAACATCTGGTGAAGCCAGATGACTAAAAGCAATTCTTCTTATTGACAGTGTGAGAGTTTACAAGTCTCCTATGGGTTACTTCCCACGCTAAACAGGGATGAACTGAAAATTCATTGTAACTGGACAGAAATATTCACTCTAGAAACATTAACTCCAGAAATCTGTCAAAGATCAGATGAAATACTAGCAGTCTGGTAATGCACAGGAGATGACTTTACTACTAGAAAATTAATTACAGGATCAATTTTGATGTCAAATGATATTTAGAAGTCTGTAATTCTTTCCTTAAGTAAAAGACCATAAATCATTTTGGAATTAGTTACCAAACAAATTCAAATGTCATTCCTACAAATTAATGGCCATGATCAAACTGATGTGACTCCGTTGACTTCAAAATCTCATTTCAGTAGAGCTTATACCAGCTAAGATTTGTCCTAGGATTCCAAACTATGCTCAATAAATTAAGGGGCATATACCAACCCACATATTTATCACCCACTGAAAAATGCAAAAATTCAAAGAACAGACTGCTATATATGTTTATCTGTATTAAATAGCAGATGAAAACCCAACCAAGATAGCTTAGAATTCAGTAGCTATCACAGCTACTTAGCCTTTGCACATCACATAATAAACATCTTAATATAAACTACAGCAACTTCTCTCTGTCTTACAGGTACATGCCTAACATTTTGATTTTCTGCCTGAAGAACTGTAGAATCCTTTTCTTCCCATGACACTTTTTAAAATGGCAAATGTAATTTCCAGATGTGTCATTGTGGTCAGGTAACATCCTACAACTCTATCCTGTTCATATTCTCTAATATGAGCACTTCTCCAACTCATCTGCTTGGCTATGATTCACAAGATCTTGGGACCCCTAGTATTCTAGTAGCTCCCATTCAGCCACACAACAACTGAAGGAAAGGTTAAAGCTCACTAGCTACTGGAGCAAGTTTGTGACAAAAACTGTTACAAGCTCACTAGCTACTGGAGCAAGTTTGTGACAAATTCCAGCATTCCTCCCACATACTGGCTAAGGAGCTTCAATTTCATAACTGTGATCCACCAAAAATGTTTGTTAGTGCTCAGTCAGGTTTCTGAAAAGAGAAGGAGAATGAGATTGGGCAAAACTACAGGTATTAACTAAGGAAACTGTGAAGAAGATGCACTTATGTACATGCAGGTTATGGTAGTGAGTCCATTAATGCATACACCTCAACAGTGCATATAAGGAGATATAATCAAAACTAGGAGATGCGTGGATAAGAGGAAAACAAGCTGCATATAAAACTGCAAAATGTTTTCAGAGTAGTTTAATCTAAGACACCACTTGCCTCTCGCCAGTCAGGGATCATGTCTCTGGGAATCCAGTATTACGTATGTTCAGAATAAACACATCCAACTAGGACAAAATGCCTTGTGCACACTACTGCACAAAATAAAACCAGAATTACCTAGTTCTCATAACCAGCAATTCCACAGAATTTGTAGGAGTCACATACTTTTTGGTAAAGTTGATAAGCAACGATCTTAAAAATTACTAACTTTCTATGACAGACTCAAGTCCAGCATTAAAACTTAATGCAAATGTCAACTTTGGCCAAGCAGCAATGCAAGGCTAAAGAGATTACACACCTACAATGAGTTCCTACAGGATGCGGAGCAATTTGGTTACAATCCAGTGAAGTACTCAAGTTCATGCTTAACTTTAAATGCATGGGCACCTCCCCTGAAGATGATGGAACCACTAATATGCCTAATGTTAAATATGCCCTTAAGTGCTTCACTGGGTTAGGGCCAGAAAGCTCAGTACCTTACAGGAATGAGTTTAGAGTAGAAGGCGCAGCAGCAGCATAGCAGGGAATTCAGGACCACAAACACCCCCGGCTAAGTCCCTCTTGCAGTGTAGTATTGAGAAGCACAGTGCCAACACGGTGCAAACACAAGCAGCTGTGTGAATGCAGACAGGTAAGAGGATGTCTTGCCTAAAGGCAACAAGAATGATTACAGAAATCTGAAGAATTATAAGATCAGGAGGAAAACAAATTGCCACTACTCCCCAATTCTAACTATAAATTGTATTCCTGCAGTGGAAAAAACCTGTATTTTTAATTCCTACATAAACTGACAGTCCGTGTCTGTAATCCATGTACCTCATCACATCATGCCTCAGCTCCAGAACTCAAGTGTACCCAGCAAAGCAGACTAAGATCCGCAGTACTCTACAACACATGGCATCTGCAAAGCAAAAGCCAGGCTGACATTCAGCATGCATGTCCACCCACCACAAACACCATGCGGGTCTTGCACTCCAGGTAATTGCAACCTTGCAACACATTCACTTGCTCAATACCAACTCTGTCTTTAAAAGACTGGACTTTAAAGCACATGTTAAGTACTGTTGCGTGCTGCCATCCTACACATCGTACTACAACCTACTTGTGACAGTTCCGTGCTACAAGGCACTCCCTTCTGCGCAGAGCTACTGACAGCTACTGCACACATTTCTCCTGTAAGCTGTGCACTGACGGATGTGCTGCGCACCATCTTCCCGCCAGTTCTGCAGCTCACGTGCTTCCGCGTCTAAGAAGTCCATGTTCCACCTTTGCAGGGATTTCCACGATTTGGTGAGAGACAGTAGAAGGATCTGGACTAAAACAACCCAGAAGCAGCAGCATATGGGCCTGTCATCTCCAAACTTACTCTGCAACAGCCTAGCCTAACCTTCTGTAGTATACAAAACATATTAAAGCTGAACTACATGCATTTATTTCTATGTTTATACACCATAAGCACATATAATTCGCTTAAAAAGGGAGCATAATTAGCCATGTAATGTTATGGGTCACATTACTACACGACACCCAGATGTCCTGCTGTCTCACAAAATATTAAAATACCACTTTCCTGTCAGTAGTAAACTGTATTTATTATTGTGCAAAAATATAATGATTAATAACATAACCATAGTTAGGGACATAATGTTAAGCAAACAATCCTTTTAATAATTTTTAAAGTTGGGATTCTTCAGCATTGTAGCCAAATATAATCTGCGTTCCCAGGAGGGATGAGCCTTTTGGGACATGAAAGTAACTCTGGAGTCAGAGGAGCCTGATCTGAATCAGATCAATCCTTTAACAAGTGGATCATTGATTTTTCATATTCAGGCACTGGGAAGCAATGGGGACAGGGGACAGAGAGGAACACTGGTCAGACAGAAATACTCACTTCACCTTACATGCATTATCCTACTCTATGAAATCCATGAGACTTTCTTGGAATTTCCAGTACAGGGCTTTGGAAAGTGCTTATAAAGGATCTGCTCCCAAGGGAGGTTTTTTTCCTTGCTTTGCAGGCTTAGAAAGCACATTGCAAAGAAACCCCATGAGTAATTATGAACAAGGAACAGAAATTAAAAATCCAACTAGCAAACAGGTATTTTGGGATGAGGATGAGACTTCAAATTCATTCAGCAAGCTTGCCTTGTGAGAGCACAGAAATAATGCAGTAAGATATAAAGTGCCACTGGAAATCAAAGGACAGTTGTTTAACCCACTTATGGGGTTCTCATTCAGAACTACATCCTCTAACACTGGCAACAGTCTCGCAACTCAGTAGGGAGATGAGCAGATGGAATCACAAGTGCCCTCTGGTAGTTTGTATTTGGAAGAATCTCAGCACTGTGCTCTGCTATGAGCTAGATTTGGGAAACCAAGGAGTGACAGTAAATCTACCACACTTCTTTCGAGGAGTTTCCAACAAATTCCCATTGTAACACAGCAAGGATTCAGAGGTTAAGCTGCAAAGTCCCTGGACGGTGGGGAGCTGCAAAAGGCCAGGGCTTTCTTTGTGATGGCTTGCTTGATCCCCTGTAGTAGTCCCTGATACTTTCCAATGTTGTTCCTTTCTCCATAGCTCTGAAAAGACTTCTGAGTGTGACTCAAAAGCATGGACGGGCCTTGCAAAAACACCTTCTTCTCCTGAATTACATTTTTAGCTTCTTGAATTTCATTTTTAGTTCATTTCTTTACTACCTAGCGAGGCCACAGCAAAACTGGTAGCCTTGCCCACCCTGCCCTCCATATGCCCAGCTCACTCTCAAAAGAAGGAAGGAGCTGAAGAGAGAGTGTTAGAGAAACAGGTGACCAGGGGATCTCCATGGAGTACCACTGCCTGTGAAAATGTAACCACTGCAACAACAAAGACATATCGCCTATTGCTGTCTGCTGCACGTATGGGTTTGAGGGGGTGGCTGTGAGCCCCCTCGAGCATGGCCAGTCCTGGGGGGTTTGGGAAACACCTATCACCAAACAAGCAAACATAAATAACTAGTTAGCAATGGGGATAGCAACACACACAGCCCAGTGCACAGGAGTCAATTTGATGGGCTTTTTTTTCATTTCTGATGTAGCTGCAATTACATGAGATGTGAACGCACAGAATAAGGTAGGAGATGCTTTAT